CAGAACATATCCCTGCAAAGCTGCACACAACTTTTCTCATTGCTCTCTGCTGGGTAACTGAAGATATACAAGTTTGAACCTATCGCCTGTACGGCATTTGGGCCACAATCAGCAATTGCGGCCAATGCGTTAACCTAAACTATGATTTATTTCTCTGAAAAATATGATGGTTGCCACTGAAATATTCCTTTCTGTTTCAGGTATGTTTTTTACAATCATTTTTAGCACATTTTCTCATTTATGGAAAAAATGCACTATTGTGCTCACCATGTCTGTCTGTCTGTCCGTGTGTCTGTTCGTCCATCCGTGACCTCAAGTTTTTGTCAACAAGAAAATGCACTCTCTGTCACTCACTGCAGTGAGTACCAAGTTATATTTTTTGTTATAGTGAATTCACTTGACCCAATTAAAATGGTGCAAAATTACAATCTGTCCTGTAAGCTTACAGATATGGAAGAAATGCTATATGGCTGCTGATATGAAGCTTGCAGTGGACAAGGTCATTGTCAATGCTCAGTGGAATATAAATGGATACAGTAATATCACTTAAATAATACGGTAATGCATTGGTATGGTTATATCATATCAATCAAGGAAAAACAAGTAAAAATCATATGTAGATGTAATGTACACTCTGATGTTTCTGATGAGTACACTCTGCATGTTTCAAATGTTTCAAAATTAAGTTTTATTCCAAGTGCCCTTGATTACCCTGTTCCCAGGAGTAATTTTGGAAGCTTTTATTTTGTGTATAGCACTTTACAGATAGCAAATGAAATATTTTTGGAGATATACAATAGCCCATGCAAAAACTTGAAATGATACCCATCTCATTTGTGAAATGTTTCATGATAAGAAGTTATCAACAAACAATGCTCAAAACAGTCCCTTATTGCCCTGCTTGACAGTACCTATAATGGTTTTGATGCTTTCTATCACCCATACTGCCAGTATGGATGACTTTACAGTCTAAAACTGTACTGTAAAGCAAAACATTGGTAAAGGATCCTGAATTTGTTGCCCTGAAAATAAGAAGAATGACTGCTGCAGGTGGCCCCACAGTCATTCTGTGCCTTACACTTGTCTGTTTTGTCATGGAACCAGTTGATATTTTAGCTATTCTACCTTGAAATTATAAAATTAATTAGTCTAGGTATGTATTATTTTTAAAGACATATAGAATGCAGTCAGTGTGAGTATATTACCACATTTTCCTTAGCTTTGTTTAATGTCTGTCTGTCTGTCATCAAAAATTCTCACCTCAACATGTTGACTATGATTGCTTCATCTTGTACTATTATTTAATTTTTTGTACTGTTTTTAAACAGGGTTGCCAGACAGTCATTTTTTCCAGACAAATTTTGTGATTTAGTTTTTCTCAATTGCATTGACCATCTAAAATTTATGATAGGGTTACTTCCTAATTAAATTTTAAATACTGCAAAAAGAAAATGGATGGAAGTTTTATAGCGGAACCTACAAATAAACTGGTATATATTGAGTTATCAGCCTTTTTTGGCCTTTTTTGTTCTCGAATTTGGCAGCTTTTAGGCAACCTGAATTATGTACCACTACGTCCTGGAGAAATTACATTTTGTGGTATGCATATGTAATTATGTACCACTTCGGAGTCAACGTGTTAATTTAGAGCTCTTATGAACATCCTAGAAACTTGAAATTTGGCATTCATGCTTATGCTGCCTAACAATTCAAGATTTGATCATCATAACTAATAACTAAAAAAACTTGTAGAAAAAAAAATTAAAATAAAAATGAAAAAACTTGAAATTCACGTTTGGGAAAAATTCACATTTGGTTATTTTTCGAATATCCAGACTTGCCAACCCTGGAAATTAATTTGAATTGCTGAAATTGCTCAACTAAAAAGTAGCAAGCAAATAAATATAGAAATCATTTTTAAAAGCCACGTTTTCTTAATGGACAAAAAAGAAAAACATTTACTCCTACATAACATTAAAGTTATGTAAAATGTTATATAAAGTTATGTAAGAGTAAATGTTTTTCTTTTTTGTCTGTAAGGAAAACGTGGTTATTTATTAAAGTTTTTTTTTATTTGTTTTATTTTGAAAGCGGATTTTTTTTTTTTTTGCACACACTGTTTTTTAGAGACCATTTTGGTCTTTTTAAATGTTGCATAATTTAGCTTCCTAGTTGAAAACAATATGCAGCACAATCATGACAATTTTTGATGTTATACATTAGTAGAAGCCTAAATGTTTATTACTAATTTCAATGTGCTAAGTTCTATTCATCCAAAATTATAAGGAAAAAAATTAGAGGAATGAAATGAAAAAGCATTTCAAGATAGAATGTATTTAAACTTCTTGAAAAAATGTAAATATTGAAATTAGCAGGAAAATTTGTTGTGACAATTTTGTGTTTGAAAGGTTTTTTGAAACAAATTCTTTTACATGCACTAATTAAGTAATTTGAAAATAAAAATTCATGAAAATTCAAATACTTGACCAACCACAGATGAAATGGCACTCCTGAAACAATGGCTTAACCTCTGATCAATTCTAGATTGTGCATTGTGATGCACAAAAGCTCATGAAAGCTGGGAAATTTTTCAAGTTCCCCATTATTGTGGGACTTTCTCCATAAATGCAAGTTAGTACAGGCAATTTCAAAGTGCAATGTAGGAATTTTGAAATATTAACTGTTATACCAGTGGTTCCCAAAGTGGGCGATATCGCCCCACTAGGGGCGATGGAAAGATTTTGGGGGGCAGTAAAGAAAAAGAGGCGATAGGGGGGGGGTGCCGGCAGCCCGAAGTCAAAGTCAGAAGTTCCAACGTTTGTTTGACGATTTGTACACAACACGTGCAGCACATGACTCCCAGCGATGGTTTTTTCACCCAGAGCTGTTTTTAGCCCATTTTCTCATTTATGGAAAAAATGCACTATTGTGCTCGCCATGTCCGTCCGTCTATCTGTCCGCCTGTCTGTCCATCCAGGACTTCATGTTTTCGTTGACGAGAAAATGCGCTCTCTATCACTCACTGCAGTGAGTACTGGGTTATATTTTTTTAACCTCTCCTGGGTTTATGTCTCCGACAAATTAACGGCTGAGCTCACGGCCAATTTCCAAATTTAATGATCAAGGAATATCTCTCAAACTAATAAACTTAACTCGATGAAACTTGGTACACGTATTCATTAGGACCTAACGGTAATGTAAAGCCTGTGAAATTTTTTTTTTAATTTTGCCTTCAATTGTTTTTGCCATACTTATATGACAATACGGGCTGAATTCACAGTGATCAAGGAATTTCTTCCAAATTACTGAACAGACAAATTACTGAACAGACAGTCCCAACTACCGAACGGTGATGTTTAGCTCATGAAAATTTTTTTGATTGTGCCTTCGTTTGCGAGTTTCATTCGTGATTTAAACAGCAATATTTGCTTAAATTCGCAGTAATCAAGAAATTTCTTGCAAACTACTCAACAGATTTGAACGAAATTAAGTATTTTAATACCTAACCTCAGCAACGGTGATGTTTAGTTCGTTACAATTTTTTCGTTTTGCCTTCGTTTGTGAGTTATACGGCTATACGTAAACGGCTCTTGGTTAAATCAGCCGGTAGAAAAGCCGGTTGTTCCTCCTACATCTGTATAACTTGAGAATGAAAGCGAATAAGGAAGTGCGAAATCAAGAATGACGGTGAAATGAAGAAAAATCTCGCAAACGACGGTAAAATCAAAAAAATTTTTTAATCTTAAAAACACCATTGGGAAGTTAGGAATGTAAATTCAAAATTTCGTTCAAATCTGTTTGGTAGTTTGGAAGAAATTCTTTGATCACTGCAAATTTTGGCCTTTATCGCAATATAACTCACGAATGGAGGTAATATTTAAGAAATTTTCGCAAGCTAAACGTCACCGTTGAGTTCTGATGAATACATGTTCCAAGTTTTATTGAGCTGCGTTCATTAGTTTGGGTGATATTACTTGATAATTGAATTTGGAGATTGGTCGTGAGACCGGCCAAGAGTCCGGCCGTAAATTCGCCCGAGACGTCCTAGGTTTCTAGTGCTGAAACAGTTGAAACAGCTGAAAAACACTTTGGTTCACTAAAAGGGGTCCTAATTGTGAAAAACACATTTGTGTTTAACCTTTATCTTTCAAAATTGCAGCGAACTAAATTTTATAGAAAGAGGGGCATGATTTTATATGTGTCCGTGGGGGGTGCTAAAAATTCACTAGGGAGATAAAGGGGGCGCCAGCCTGAAAAAGTTTGAGAACCACTGAGTTATACTCATCATAAAAACAATATGACTATGACTTATGTAAATATGGGAAATTTTTATATATAAGCAGTGCAAACATCTAGTTTGGTGGCAGGATAAATTAATCTGAAATTGTTTGCCTTTGAAGACCAGTGACATGCTGCTTTGTATCTAATAGGTTTTTTCAATGTACCAGTCTAGTACCTCTGATGATGCTAGTACATGAATAAACCAATCATTCTCAAGTGATGATCAATGAATATTTTTTAAATCATCTCCCAGAACTCCCCTCAATTGCTCCGTCACTTTGTACACAAATTGAAGCTTCATTATTGAAATTATGAAGTAATTTTTGTATGAAGTAATTTTTGTATGAAGTAATTTTTGTATGAAGTAATTTTTGAAAAAATAAGTTTGATAATTATTTCAAGTAACATTCTCTTTATATGTGTATGTACCTGCTTCATGGTTGATGAAGCAAATGTATGGATCAGACAAATTTTTTTATCTGATTTAAGTTTATATCATAGTACCTAGTATCATTATTATGCGTGTTACAGTTGATTTTTATTACATTAAATTATTTCTGAAGATGCTTTTGTGTTATTTCTTCACTGATGTCAGGTCACCCTGTATGAAATAATTTATGGGAAATAAGTTTATATATCATATAAGTTGTCTAATATTATTAGACAACTTAGGTAAATAGACTTCCTTTTCTTGCTCTACATTGATGATATTGTTTCAGGAGTAAGCTGTGATGCGTGTCTCAAGGCAAATTTTCGTGGGCGCCGCTACAAGTGTCTGATCTGCTACGACTACGATTTATGTGCCTCATGTCATGAAGCCAAAGCCACTACCACTCGTCACACGACTGAGCATCCAATGCAGTGCATCTTAACACAACAAGATTTTGGTAAAATATATATGTCTGAATTTTTATCCTTAAATTCCCTAATTAACTTGCATAAGATTTTTAAAAATGTAACACTTAAATGCAGTTGTTTTTATTTGTTTAACACATTGTACTTTCCTATAAATGTTTATAATTGATAACCACTGTTTTGTGCAACAAGTTTTACAATTTTGCATGCATTTCAGACTTATTTTATGGTGGAGAAGGTGTGGGCAATGAACAGCCCCAGTCCCTGACATGTCCATTCTGTGGGCGACTGGGGTTCACGGAGCTCACATTGATGGAGCACACCACCGCAGAGCATCATGATACTAACACTGAAGTGGTGAGCTATCAATTAGTTGCTGCACTATGAAAACTTGCTTATGTATATTATATATATAAACATGTTATAACCTGTTTCTGGGTTTATCTTGAAATGCTATCTGTGATTGGCTGATGGGGGTTACAAAGCCCTAAGTATTTTTGATTGTACAGACCCAGGGACACATAACTATGAGTTTAAATGACTGTCTGTGTAGACATGGCCTTGTCTGATGAAAATTGATCATTTGTGTTGATATTTGATTCTTAAAGACGCATATTTTAAGCTTATTATTGGTTCTAAATGATCTTCTTTCTGATTTTGTGTTATATCCAAACATGTCAAGTACCTTCCACAATGGTTCAGTTTATCTTATAAATGTTATTCCTATTTTATTAAATTTAGAATTTGGCATAGACAAATGCCTACAATTTTATCAGCTACTGCAAGTTTGTCAGTTTCTATGTCTGTCGTATTACGCTCTAATACTTTATTGTTGCATAGGTTTGCCCCATCTGCGCCAGCGTCCCTGGGGGTGACCCCAACCATGTCACCGATGACTTCAACGCTCACATCACGTTTGACCATCGCGGTGGAGGTGGTGGAACCAGCATGGCATCTGCTGCTCCTTCCAGAGAACTGATATCCTTTTCTGCTGCTTCTGCATCTTTCATTTTATCACCAATGAACTTGCAGATGAATTTTCCTTTTTTTAAAGCTCATACGTGAAAGTTCAATCCCACTATTATTCTGATTTTAGGTCAACTGCAAGTTCAGAATTCATGCTTTGAATTATTAACATTATTAGAGAATTAGTTAGTTCTATTGAAGTTCTATTCTATTACTTAGTACCTAGTTGAAAGTTAATCATAGCCTATTAGGTGGCACCCATTGCCCAGTACAGCAGGTAGTTAGAATAAACAATATAATTGCTTCAAGCTCAGTGAATGTACGAAGTTTAATGTCTGCCTTCATAACAATTGCATGATTAACTAAAGGCAATTCATGACTGGAGCAATTATCATGACGGTTCTTGCTAATTTATTCTATTTGTCAATTTAACAGAAGTAGGTAAAAAAAACGAGTAAAGATCGTTTTTTTATTGTTGGACCATTGAATATATTGTTGAAATTCTTTTCACTGAGAATTCTTTCCACAATCGAATGGTAAAAGTCCCAGTTGGCTTAATTTTGATTCGATGCCATTCGAGATCTTATCTTTATTGCAATATGAATTGTCTTTGTCTTGAGATAATTTCTATAACTGCTGCTATTTATTGGTTTAATTTCATTCCAACCTCTCAAAAAACTTGAGTTCCTGACTTATGTGAATAACTTGATGTATTTAGTAGTATTATGTGTTGAATATGAGTCTTCCTTAACTGCGGTGCACGATGACAACAGCGTCAGCAGCAGACACACCACGAGCGTGCGCAGGATGCAGTACCCTGGCCGAGGACTGGGCAGGGCTGTACCCAGACGCAACCTCACCTTTGGGTTGGTTGCTTTTGACCATCTTATTTTCTATTATATTTATTTATGGTAACCTTCTGTCTATGTACGCATTAAATATAAATATTTATATTATTATGCAAGGAACTTGGCAGGGTTCTGTGCAGATGCAACCTCACCTTTGGGTTGGTTTCTTTTGACCATCTTATCTTTTATTATACTTGTTTCTGTTAATCTTCTGTCTATGTACGCATTTACTATTGGCATTATTATCCAAGGAACTTGGCAGGGTTCTGTCCACTTTCAACCTCTCCTTTGTGTCGGTTGAATTTGGTCTTAGATGGTCTCTAGTGAAAGTTTTACACCTCGTATCTTATATTGATATCTTGTTTGTAGTGAAATGTTTTCTTTTAACTTTGTCTATGGATGCATTGACCATCTAAAACTATTTGTTTCCAATTCCTGGCACTGATAGCTGCCATAGTTATAGAACGGGCTAGTTCTTTCTGTAAGAGGAAATTCACAATCGTTAATGCTGTTTCTTGGTTGACGCTTGGTCATGAGTTACTGCCAGTGAACAAAGAGATTGTAACCACAAGTTTGCTTTACATTAAATATTCTTTCATGACTAAGTATTATATGTCAGTAAATTTTGAACTGAATACAGCAAGCTTATTCTGAACCAGGAGTGCGCAGTAATGATGACATCGGTGCGCTCACTCCCATTGGAAGTGGAAAATTCCCAAATTAAAATTACACTCGTGCAACGTAGTATATATAGTGTACCGCAACAGCCATTTACTCCAGTCAATACTTCAGTCTTTTGAAAGTCGGTGTTCTTTGGAAATGCTTGATGCGTAATATCAAGCTCAATTACTTACATGTATTTTACGATTATTTCTTAACAAGTCTTTTTTTTTTTCTTAGGAGTAATTCATGCTTTATTTGAAGCTCAACCACTGACCTGTGTGTTACGATTATTCTTTTGAAAAAATTCTGTGTTCATCAGCCTCAAGTCATGCTTAAAATAAATCTCAACTACTTACATGTAACCATGACTGTTTCTTAATTGCAGGGCTCATTAGGAATAATTGATGCCCAAAATCAATCTCAACTTCTTACATGTGTTTCAGGATTATTTCTTTATGGTAATCTGGGTTTATTAGGAACGCTTTATGCTTATAATCAAGCCTTATTTACTTCTATTTTATGATGATTCATTATTGATTTGTCCAACAGGAGTGTCGGCAACGGGTTGTTCCCCAGTTCTCGTGGTGAAAGTATGGATCCAATAGCAGAGTTGTTATCACAGCTCACTGGTGTTAGAAGATCCACTGTGAGTATTGCAATGACGTCAACATAGCTTAAGTAATAATGTCACTTGTTTGCTTGAACCGCAAATTCACTAAAAACTTAGAAGCAGAGAATACTCCACAAAAATTCATACTATCGTTTTGCTGTCCAGCTCCATCGTCAGTTTGAAAATTCTAAAATTTTCAAACTGACGATGGAGCTGGCATTTTTTTTAAACATTTTTTTTAAAGATTGTATGGATTTTTGTGGAGTTTTCTTTGCTTTTTAGTTCTTAGCAACATAGCTTATTTATGTATGCAAGTTGGAGCCATTAGTTTAATTTCATACATAATTACAAGATCCATTTATGTTCTAAGAATGCTGGAAATGCATTTAGTTTATATTTTTAATATAGTACTACTCTGATTAACTTTTGATAGAAGTGGATGAAATACCCATTCATTGACTCACATCTATAGTTTAATATAAAGATTATTAATTTAAATAGGAATATTTATTATTATTGATTTATTTAACTGTCTTTCATCTTGTTATTTGGCGCACTGTTACTTGATTATTTCAAGGTTGTGGCTACCTTTTTACAACACTTCTCTTTAACTTCACTTCTTGTTTGTTTGTTTGTCTGTCTGTCTGTTACAAATCTTATAATCAAAATTTAACACACTTCTACTTATCCTATCGATCTTAAATTTTGCACACTTGCTTAAAGTTGGAGACAATGCAAGAATCAAATGACAAAATAAATGATTAAAAAAAATTTTTTTCAATGTTAACAAATTTAAAAAATAATTTTATCAGATTTAAATCTTATAACTGAAATTTGACACAATTTTACCTTTCCAATTGCTCTGAAATTTTGCACACTTATGTGAAGTCGGAGGCAATGTATGAATCAATTGACAGAATAAATAATAAAAAAAAAATTTATAAATAAAGAAATTGATAACTAATTTTTTTAATATTCGAAAAAAATGAGAAATTCATTGTACATATTTAACTTTCGAGACACTGCATTCTTTAGAAGCGTTGTTTTTAAAAAGTAATTTTTAAACATATATTATTCTATCTGCATTTCCTTGATTTTCATCAAAAACATTGGCATTGATGTCCTCTAAAACGAGTTATCGTTGTGAAGGTATCAACACGGCAGCAGCAACAACAGTGGCATCAGCTGAGCAATGAGGCAGAACGGCGGTCGACAAGGCGTGTTGTGGGACCGTCGTCAGGAGTAAGCAATGCCTTACGCGGGGGCGGCTCCTCTGCCAACAATGTCGCCCAAGCGCCAACGTCTGCCAACGGTAATGCTGCTGGTCAAGGGACAGCCACTGCAGCGCCAAACAGTTCTTCAGGTGAGATGCTGTGTGCTTATAGATATTTTTATATCTATAATGTCTACTGTAAGAAATTGGGGTCATTTGTCATCTTTCTTGTCATGTTAATGATAATAGTATCAGCAAATCCTAAATATGATTATTTGTAAATTTAATGCAAATAAATTGTTGCCGTTAACCAGGTATACCTTGGACCATACCTTAAACCATTAAAATACCTGATTTTGTAGCTCGAAAATCATTGTGATGATTTCTTTGCACAGCTGGTCTGCTGTACGGCAGCGTGGTAAGCAGCGGCACTGGAGGCGCCAGCGCAGAACAGGCGCGCGTTGTTGTAGAAGGAAATGGACCTTCAGCTGCTCTTGGAAGCGCCCTGGACCCTGCCTCATCCTCAGCATCTACTGCAGCGTCGGGATCTCAGTCACAATTCCTACTTTCAAGGTTCCTACTTCAACTATTTATACTCCTAAACCCGAGATGTGTAAATACAGAACAAATAGAATTATGGTATCCAAGGTTGGGCTAGCTATATTTTCAATAACTTGTCGTTTTTTTCTTTTTTATTCAGGCATTGATATAAATTTGACATGTTTTTAGTCTGAAATATATTATGGAGAGAAACCGCGTGAGCTCTGCTTGAATCCTTTGTATTCTTTCAATATTTCAGCCTGACATTTAATTGCTTGTACTTTCACTTTGGATTATACAGGATAACAGAGACCGAAGGCGAGCGCGAGACAACCGAGGAGAGTGAAGACCGCTGCTCATTTGCTCGTGAGTTGTTGTTGTCGATGTTGGCAGTGCAGCCTTCTTCGTCAGCAAGCCTGACTTCTAAAACAACTCCGCCTGCGCTAGAAGAAGCTCCTTCAGGATCCATCTCTGCTGGCGATGGGTCTTCTGAAGCAGCTCCCACGAATGCTGAAAATGAAGTCACTGTCACTGTAGACGCTGCAACGCAAACGACATCACCACCAGTCCCAACCTACTTGCCTTCTAAACCAAGCATACCCTGCCCTCCTCAACCTCAGCAACAGCAACCATCACTACCACCACAACAGCTCTTCAAGGGCGCTCGACCACAGAAGCTTGGCCCGGGACGCGCAAACACAACTGGCGCCATCACGAAAGCCTCCAGTGGGGTTACTGCAGTCAATTTTGTGTCTCTGGCCAACCGAAACTCTGCGGGTTTAGGTGGGGGTGGCAGTGCTGGCCGCAGCAGCGGCAACCCGCATGCTGTCGGTAACGGCGGGTCCGGTAGCGCCGGCGGGAATAACAATCTCGATGGCGCGCCTGGTCAAAATCGACGTAAAATGGTGCGAGGAAGCGCAGAATCACGTGCTAACGAACCGCCACCTCCCCATTAATACTAACTAATTATTTCTAGTCAAGTCTTAACGTTACGCTCACACGACGCTTGCTGCCTCGCTTGTAAGAACTACATCTCCGCGTCTTTTTACTCACTTGTTTATTTCAAACTTCTTATTTTGCTTGAGCTCCGAGCATTCGGGGGCTATGGAGTCTCTCCCACCTGATGTCAAGCCACGTCCTTCATTTTCTTCCTATCTGTACCATAGACCTCGCTTCTCCATGATTTAGTCAATGACCAATGTTGTTTAGTCGAAGGTATTAAAACGATTTCTTTTCCTACAGAAGTTTGATGTTGATTATTTCCGTCAACTATAAATTTTACCTAATATTTCACCAACTCCTGGTCTGGGATTGGGCTCTATGTAATTTATTGTGATGCAATTCTACCCGCATTTTCTTTCATAATTGGAATTCCGAGAATTCCTGGTTTGTTCAACATTGACGTGTATTTCATCCCGATTTTACTCAGTGCTTCTATTGCGGCATTTATTTCACACCACTCTAATACCTAGCGTCTAAATTGGCTTTATTGCTACATAGACGTACTTCACGGGACTATATTTCAATGGTTAGCTGAAGTACTCCGAAATTGATGGAACGAAGAGCTATTGATCTCGTGCAGAATCCTGTAGTGTTATGTCAAATTTCTTTCGAACTATAGTATAAATATATCCCTCGTATTGCAGCACCATTGTAGTAGCTTAGCTTTTACGATTGAAGGTTTGGGTAATCAGAACTTCATTATGTCTCATCAAAACCAAATATCTCGTACAAAGTGCAAAATTTAATTAATAAAGCTATGAAATTATTTATAACACTTCATGGGCTACCCATTGTTAGCGGAAAAAGTCACCCATGATTTATTTATTGGTATATATGACATACGTTTCCACAGCTGTGTTAAATTATTCTCATTTATATGTTTAATGATGAACTAATTTTCGCTTCAAAATTTCAGTTGAGAGTCAGATCTATAATTTTTTAATAATATTATGAATAAAGTTTATTCTTCATTTCATCTCTCTGCTTATGTATGGCTCCTTCAACTAACACCCTTTGATTTCTTTTTTTATCTACTAAACGAGACCAACTTTTGAACAAATACATAAAGGGAATCATACATGGTTCAGGCATCATTCAATACGTATCTTATCCCTTTGTTCAGTAATGTTTTTTTTTTTTACTGTGCCCCTTCAGGTGAACTGTACTCTTGCTACGGGCTTGTTAACACCCATGTCCTGGTATTTCTTATGAACATCTTCTATTGTTCGATGGTAAACGATTGATGTCTGCTCGTGAAAATACTTCTTGAATATAACAAGTTTTTGCGGTTATTAAATAATGTCCTCGTAGCGTCTCTGGCTAAGTTTAGTCAAGGGTCTAGGGAATGGGACACTTTGATCAATATCGTTTCACTTCTTAATTAAAGAGCACTTCTGTTAGGGAAAGCATCTGTGAGGCTTAAATATGGCTCGCTGTGTCAGGAAATGAGTTGAGTAAATAGAGATTTTTAAAATTTTGACGAATATGTTTTTTTTTTTTTGGCGGCTTAGTGGTGATGGCGGCTTTGCTGTATTTTTGGTATCAAAAATATGTTAATTTTTGTAATTAATAATCTCGTCTACAGTCACGTTCGCGCTTGACACCTACTAATACTACTACTTTCACGTTCGCTCCTTTATGGTTGTTGAGTACATTTCATCTCGTCACTTCTTGAACTATTTAGTCTTAGCTCTGTTATGCATCATCTTGATATTGCTGGAAAATTTTGTTTATTGAAGTTTTTAGGATTATCTTCCATAAAGTTGACTCATGATTTGCAGTGTGGGAATTGCTGTGGGAGCCTCGCCTCAGGCCGCTGATTAACGTTACTTGATCGCTTCATGGTAATTTCAACGTGGCGTCTCGATATTCAGTGCATCTAGAAATGGGATTTTTCTCCCTTATTTGTTATATGATAAGAATTGCGATTTCTTCTATTTGTTATACCCTTCAAACTTCTGACGCCGCTGCTACCGTTACTGCTGACATATTGAAGTGAACAGGAATTTGTCGTGGCCATTCAAGCTATGGTATTACACGCTGAACAACAGAGCAATATTCAGTTCGAGTCAGCGGTAGCAGCGTGTTCCTAAATCCTTGTTGAAATATATTTATTTAATCTGCTCTGTTTCATCATCTATGCGAGGCACTGCTGTGTCATGCGTCGCAGTTACTCGCAATTGTTCTGATAGGGCAACAGCGAGTTGGTGATCTAATTTGAAGTTATATTTCTATCCTGCAATTGAAACTATTTATTACCTTACGAAGGTATTCGAATCCATTACCATCATTAACACTAATTTTCTCATTATCTTGCACGTGTAATAATTTTTGTAGGAATTCGAGTGAACGCTTGCACTTTTCGGGCCGCTTTTCTTCTCTCTATTTGCGTGACCGTTGACCCGTTGTCAAAATGATATCGCTATCGTCAATGGCACTTGAGTCGCCACCTATTAAGCATTGCTCAGAACTCGTCGCTCGTCAATGAAAAGATTATAATTCTGCAATTTGTACTGCTTTATTCCCTTCTAAGAATTACTGTGCTATTTAGGTCTTGCAATAAAGATTTGTATTGAAGGCTGGCAACCAATGTACTAAGGTGACTTGGGTGTCATTAACGGTAGTGCAGCTGAGGACGTGTTTCAGGTGTTTTATTGTGGTTATATTTCCAGTTTATGTGAACGAAGAGCCTACGTGTTCTTGGAAGATTGGCATTTGTTGTCTTCGTATTTGAAACTAAATACACATGTTAATAGGTCAGTAATCGAGAAAGTGTTTGAAAGCCATCAAAATCAATGTAAAAGTAATGACAAAATTATTTCAGAACGCGTGGCTTATGCTTAGTTGCACATTTATCCTGTGCACCATTAGCAAATCAACACGAGATTATAAAGATAAGACTTTAATTTATTCTCGTATTCGCTTCATTTTTATCTCTGGGAAGCCTTTTGCGGCAAAAAGTTTGACATCAGTTTCTATATTTTCTGGGACAACTGTACCTGTGAGCCCTGTACATGCTCGCGAGCGATCTCTTTTATCCGGTTAGGTATTCGGGTCCAGATTCATTACAGTTTCAGAGATGTTACAAAGTGCGATTGACCGAACTTTAATAAATTCGGTGAATCTGCTCCAAGGGTAAAAAGATGCCAGGCAATCGTAAAACCATCGGATGTGCAACACGATACAAGCGTGCGTACGAGAAGTATCGGAACCATTCACCCTCTGCATTCAATAGTTTCAGACATAGAATGTTCTTTTGAGCTTTGGGCTGCTCTCGCATACTCTATTGCGTAAAGTGTTTTTGGTGTTACCTTGTCTATTTACTGTCCCTTGAGACCGTCTAGCTTTCCGGACGTTCCCGACTTGCCATAAGTTTAAGATTTACAAAGCGATATTTCTGAAACGATGTTCACGAACCTTCTGTCGAGGGGCTAGCTTTGAAGAGTCTTCAGAGCTCCTTTAACTTCAAATAAGAGACAGAGAAGGGCCTTCACGAACCCACTATGGCGGTGGTGCTTTCATATAGTTGTCGATTCTGATGTATTTTGTAAAGATCTTCGAGACCAGGAAACGAAGCATTATGTCTAGAAAGTTACACTTGATATAATCTTTTTTTCTCGCGCATGAATACGTTTCAGTTTAGTCATCTTTCGACGTCTCGACTGTCGAAAGTGTTTGAGCGGCTTCATGCCAGTATATATTATCTCTTAGCTGTGCTGTTACATAGAATTTTCGAATGTTTGCTGCGCTGAGAGACATGACTCTCGCCTGCTCGGTTGTTGTTCTGAAGTACAGTGTGTATATTGCTAGTGTACATAGTTGCAGAGTGACTCTGTATGATCCTCCAATATATGCTAAAGTATCATGTTGTATTTCAATCCTTCTCATGTGCTGTTAATGGGTAAGTAAAACGCTTGTCAGGAATACATTTTGGCCATTTCGTAAAAAATTGGATTAATTGTCTTTCATACGTACTTTTCTCTTACAATTGTTGGACCGAAAATAGTCTCATGATCGCTTAGAATCTTACATCTCCAAGCTCCGTGCAAGTTACTAGTATTTCGCTCTGATTTCAAAAGAAACTAGTGCCCATTGCACATGCTAAAATTTCTGACACTGAAATGGAAGACGCAGTCTAGACTCCTGCGTTTGGTATTTTTTTTAATACGAGACGAGACTACAGGCTCTGTCCCGATTCGCAATAAAAACCGGGACAATTTTCAGCCTTCCGTTGGAATTCCGGGACGATACCGAGACGAGACGAGACGTCCCGGTTAAAATAGGTACCTTAAAATTTCCCGGAATTTACAGATGTCTCGTTTCAAATCTGTCTGTCTCGTCCCGGTTCATAATTTACCGGGACAGAAGTTTTAAAGTCCGGGACAGAATTCTTGTCTCGGTTCATACGTTTATTCCGGGACAAATTTTACCCTCTGTCCCGTTATTTTTTCCCGGAATTTTCTCGGCTCGTTTCGTCTGTCCCGGTTCATTTCGAGAAAATTATTTCGAGACGCAGGAGTCTAATGACGCACTCTTCTACATGGTGATTCACAGACCTGTCCTGATTCGAAAGCTCAATAAACAGAGAGAACTAGTGGAGAAATCATTGCAACATGAATTATATTAAAAAATACATTACCTGAATTTTTCTATAGCTTAATTTTATTGATGACATCAGAGATATTACGGCCCCATTATCAATGCATTCAGTTAATCGAATTTTTAAGTTCCGTTCACCTCGCTGAAGCGTATTGACGGGTATATTGGCGATGGCTTGGCGTATGTTGTTCTTCAAATGAAGTAGGGTCCTTGGACAGTCATTGTAAACAATTGATTTAAGATAATCCCATAAAAAATCAAACGGAGCCAAATCGGCTTATCGGGCCTGCCAAACGTCAACTAAGAAGGATATGCTCTCTGCAAAATGTCTCTGAAGATACTTTGAACATCGCACTGTGTGGGCCGTGGCTCCGTTCTGTTGGAACCAGACATCCGTGCCGTTCATTTCAGCTAGTTTCGGCAAAAAAGCGTCAATCATTTCCTTGGAACGAGCTGCATTCACCTTTATTGTGCCTTCGTTTTCTTCAAAGAAATAAGGGCCTTATCTGTAACCACTGAAAATAATGGCCCAGTGGTTACAGTTCAGAGTACCAAGATTGTCGCAGAGAGGTGCGGGTTCGATCCCAGCTCTGTGCGCCAGTTTCTGGTCAGAATCGGCAAGGAGGCCGGGCGGTTAAAGCACAGCAGAATTTGTAGCCATGAGTTGCGAGTTCGAGACTGCAACAAGCTGTGAATGTTCTGCGATGTTAAGAATCGGCGACAGGCCTACGGCCTAATAAACGCTGACACCGTTATTATTATTATTAATATATGCAGATAGAGATAGGATAATGGAACCCCTATTAGAGAAGTACGCCTAGACAGCAAACGCACGCTGCGCATTTTCCCAATGCATAATGGCAACTGACTAGGAAGGACACAAAACTTCATGACCTTGTCTTTCATATTATATACTTTTCGCACGTGTCCCTACAACATCTGGCTGCTTGACGCAAAATACAAAACAGGACGTTTTCGTGAATCACCTTGTAGGACTCTCACGTCCTAAATGGAGTCTACCATGGTTGATTAATATGTATTAATTCAACCATGGAGTCTACCTTCCTCGCCCTGTTCTGACTCCTGTTCACAACCTGTTCAACTTTACAAACGAGAAAGTATTAATAATAATAATAATAATAATAGCGGTTTCAGCGTTATTAGGCCGTAGGCCTGTCGCCGATTCTTAACATCGCGGAACATTCACAGCATTTTGCGGTCTCGAACTCGCAACTCACTGCTATAATTCTGCTGTGCTTAACCGCCCGGCCTCCTCGCCGATTCTGACCAGAAACTGGCGCACAGAGCTGGGATCGAACCCGTGCCTCTCTGCGTCAATCTTGGTATTCTGAACTTTAACCACTGGGCCACCCGGATTGGGAGTAAAAAATTCGAATTTCGGAGTAAAAAATCCGTGCTATTTTTTTTATATTAATCAGTCTCTGCAGCCAGAGGCCAGTTACTCGAAAGCAATTAAATAACCCTTCCCGCTCAAATAGAGTTTCGACTCTGCAGCCTCTAATTTAGATTTTTCCAAATAAAAAATTAAATACATGCTCTAATTCATCCGATTTCAGGTTAGCCTGTAGAATTTTTTTCGTATTGCTACTTGGTCGAGTTACGGAAAGCTAACCTGAGCTAAATTATTAGCAAGAATAAGTTCAGTACATTGAAAGGAAGGAGAGAAAAAAATCAGTTACTCTCTCTACTCCGAATAATAAATTGAAATGGGGATTTATCTACATTCTAAACCCCTCCGTCTCATAACTACGCAATTTACATCAGTTTTTTGTAATTTCTTTGTTATTTTTGTTCATTTGTTATGTGTTGTGTACTCTTATGAGAAAAAATAATAAAAATGATTATAAAAACTCTCAATGAAATCAATATTTTAGTTAGTTTGTTTTATTTGGATCAGTTAAGAATATTATAATTCCAGAGACTGCAAGCATAGGCGACGAAATGGCTGCCTTTTATCCGGTTCCAATATAATCATAATCAAGCTATGTGAATTCAGTCACAATCCTTTTTTCTCCTATTCAGAGGCGCTTTCGAAATTTAGGTGGCAGAACAGTTGTGGGGTTAAGTTACTGTTATTGTAATAAGAGGTCATTTGTGTGGTCACATTGTTGTGTGGGCCATCAAATGGGATCAGAATTAGTGCCATACCTCTGGGCTTAAAGTGTCAAAGCTGTGGCCTGAGATTCTTAGATATATAGACTGCGCAACTTATAGAATAGAAGTTTAGGCACTGAAGAAGAAACTTGCACCACATTGCAGGTAGCCACGCCTCGTACTCAATCGACAATTCTACGGACCCGCCAGCGAACTCGCGCAACTCGGACACTCATAATTCCTTCAATACTTAACGGATCTGTATGAATTTTGAAATGTGAGTATTAATTATCGATACGCTGCCACAGGAATTGTTACAGATTTTTACGTGAATTATTTTGTAATTAAAACCAATGAAAGTATTTTTTAAGCAACTGGAACACTCATAATTCCTTCAATACTTAACGGATCTGTATGAATTTTGGATGTGAGTATTAATTATCGATAAGCTGCCGCAGGAATTTTTACAGATTTTTACACGAATTATTTTTTAATTAAAACCAATAAACGTATTTTTTAAGCAACTGGGACACTCATAATTCCTTCAATACTTAACGGATCTGCTCGAATTTTGGAGTGTGATCTGCTCGAATTTTGGAGGCGCTTTGCAGAGGCTGCAAAGCGCCTCTGCATGCGCTTTGAGGCACTTGATTCTCGTGTATTGCCCCTAGTGTGAACGGGCCTTTATACTTAATTGACCTCGTGACACATGCCTTATAAATGTTCATACGCACATTTATATAGTTTGCCACTACCTTCTGCTACGTAGTAGTATTGCCTTTTAATTATTGATACTCTACCGCAGCAATTATATACAGATTTTTCATGAATTATTTCCTAACCTAATCTGACTGGCGGAAGAAGTTAAAGATAAAATATCAATGAAAAATAACTTGAAAATTTTACTCAAGATTATTTAATTTTACATTTATGAGGAGTAAACAAATGTTGTTACAATTATTAATATTTTTTATGTTTGCCAGAACTTTGTCTACATTTTACGTCCTTTGAACATTCATTCATTTGCTAATCATGTATAAAAATGTGAATGGCTCCATTAACCGTTCCGTATTGGGTTCTTCATTCGGAATGATGCAATTTCATTTACGAAAGCATTTACTAAAAATAGTATTTCCGTAGAAGAAGAAGTCGATAGAAACGTGTCGGTTGATTCATGTCACAGCGCGCGTCTTGTTGAGAGTCTAGAGGTAGCCTATATTCTCTGTTGTGTCATCGATTGTAATGGCCGATGTAACAAAGGTGATTAACAATTTGACATTTTTCTGTGTTTTTAGGCAGAACTTATTTAGTTCGACATATTATAGGACAATTCTAAATAACACAGGCGATCGCGAAATCCCGAGCTCACGGTTCACCGGTGTCACTGTCAAAATCGAATGATTAATTTTTCGAAAGCTGGAGATAGTAGCTTGTAAAATTAATTTTATTTCATTAAAGATTTCGTTGTGATTTAATTTCTTAACGCCCTGATTGCAATATCCTACTTCTAATTGCTACTATTAATTAAAATATTTAGCGGATGCAACTGGGACTTGGGAGTGCGTTCATGCTAAATCATACTCTCTTACATCATCCTAGCTACTCAGAGTCATAGGATAAGGATTGAACTTCAAAGGCATAGTAGTGTCAGTCTGTCAGAGTAGAGACTTTTTAGACTATTCTCTTTTGAGTTTTGAGCTTGAATGCAATTGATATACCAGCAAACTGAGTACCTAGGGCCTAGGCTAAAGACTAAAGCGTTATGAAAAAGCATAATAATATGTATAGGCCTATTTAATAAAATTTTTAACTATTGATCAAGCTTTGAGATATAGGTAACTAGGGAATAATCAAAAATGAACTTAGGCCTATTTCTAAAAAAATCTCTTCTTTGCCATCAGATTTGGAATTTTCATACTTGAAAAGTCTTGAATTAATGAATTCTTGCAGGCTGCAGCTCCAATGTGCAATGCAACAATTTTTTTATAGTACATTTGGAATCTTGCAGCCATCCAGCCAAATTGTACTGTTGTGCACTTGTGTTAACAATTTGATAGCTTAGTGATTAGTAGGGTAAACGCGGTATATTCCGACACTTTAAGGACGCATCGAGAAATGAAAAACTATAAAAAAAAACAGTATGCGTTACGT